TAACGCGGAACGAACGTTAAACGACAGACTAATGTTTGTAAGTATACGGGGATGAATAACGAGGCAAATAAGCAAAGACACGCAAACAGTCGTGTCAGATTGTCGTTCAAGTTTTTATTATTATTATTATTATTATTATTTCTATTCCTTTTTTTTTCTTCATTATCATTATTACTCTTTTGCATCAATAGTTTTTTTTTTTTTTTTTTTTTTAATGTAATCAATGATGAATCGTTCATTTACTGTTTTCTTCGTTTCTCACTCTCGTGTATTGGCGTTTGGCGATGATGGTGTGTGCGTGCGTGCGTGTGTGCGTGTGTGTAGTTTGCTTATCGTGCGTCCGTCTTGTACATGCGTCGAATTTTGTCGGCCCACGAGCGATCGGTGCAGAGTAGTCGCTTGAGTCGTTCAACGGTCAGCCTCGACAAGGCGACGAGCCTGTTGCGAAGCTCGTTGGCCGAGTAATTGCGCAATAGTGGGCTGCTGGCACCGAGGCCATCGAGGAGCAGCTCGTCCGGTTTCGGATCAATCTTGTAGTTTTGGTCGTTCTTGAGCCACAGAAAGATGGCCTGCGATTCTGCTCTGCGTTGGTCGCGGTCTCGCTCGAGTTGTAGATGGGCCTCGTCGGGCGCTCGCTGTTCGTCGCCTTCGTTGTCGTCCAGGACGAGGTCGGCGGGGATATCACCGGCAGCCGCCGCCGGCAGCACGGGTGCGTCTCGAGGTGCAGCCGGCTTCATAGGCAGCGGCGGCTCGTTGGCATCGCGCACCGGCTGTAGTGGTTCAGCAGGAGGTTGTCGTACAAGATGTTGTTCCGGTTGTTGGTCTCGTTGCTGAACTTGATGATATTGTGGTCGTTGTCGAGGGTACGGCCGGTGCCGGCGCTCGTATCGGTCTCGTTGCGGCGGCGGCGGCGGCAGATGCGGATGCGGACGATCGCGCGGTTCCGGCCGAGGCAGCGGCTGCCGCTCGTCGATGAAGAAGGCGTCGGCGGGCGCGCGTCGAAAGTTGGCAAGTTGGTGTCTGTGAGGATCTGCGTCAATCGGTGGTGCACCGGCGGCTGCGAGCTCAGCCAGCCGGTCTATCACGTGATCGTCGGGCCGGGCGTTTGGTGGAATCGGCGGTGCCTGCGGCTCCAGCAGTCGCACGAGATTCATCCGTCTCGTTACCTCGCCGCCGTATCTGCCCTGGACGTTCTGGTCGAGTATTTCGCGGGCCGAGGCAAACACCTTTGCCCAGTAGGCGCTCTAGAGGTAGCGCGTCCTCTGTAGGAGATGAATTGGGAATGCCTCGACGGTGCAATCCAGCAGTTGTTGGAGCTCGTTGCGGTCCGGCTGGCCGGCTGCCTGCAGAAACAGCGAGCCGAGTATGCTCTGGGGGTCGAGCATCGCCCGCAGCACCTCGTGAGTGAGCACGAGCCAGGGATGACGGCCGAAAGGCTTGTGCTCCGGCAAATTGACGCGATCGAAGACAATCTCTGCGCGCAGCGGCGTAAAACGCGCTCTCTGGCATCGGCTCATCGTCGTCCTCGCCCTCGCAGCCGCAGCTGGTCGTGTCGTCTCCGATGTTTCGAGTGTCACGCGCGTTATCTCCGACAGCCACGATACGTAGGATGTTGGATTCACTGGCCCGTGCAAACCGAACACGTTTGTCGAGCCGCCAGCTTTTCTCCGCGATGATGTAAAACACACACGCACACGGGCGCGCGAAACGGCACAAAGAATGCAGCGCACAATAGGCGCCAACAAAGCACAGCACAAGGGAAGGTAATAATCACCGGCACAAAGTTCGAGAGCGCACAGCAAAACAACGAGGCTGGAAACGCGCACACGCAAATTGAGTTGTCGCTAATCGCTGGCACGCGATAGAGAGGCAAGGTACGCAAAAACGGTTTTCCGGCGAAGACGGCAAAACGTCGAGCACAAACGGCACAGAGAGCAAAAAAGCAAATGCTGGAAAATACGGGACACAAGCGCAGAATGTCAACGAGTCCGAGCATAAAAGCGACAAACGTACGTACAATCTCTCAAGGTGGTCGTGAGCGCAACTTGTGAGACAGAGTCGGGTTTCGTTACGACGCGCGAATCGCTTGTCTTGCGTCGTTTATCGCGAGTAGCGTTTCGTTTCACACGCCGAATGGCGGGGCAGCGCGGCAACGGGCGGCAGCGGCGGTGGTGGCAGTAGCGTCGCTAAGCGGTCAACAGCACGGCAGTGCAGTTGCCCTTTGCCCGGCACGACACTTTTGTCCCGGACAGCAGAGCGTCAAGTCGCATTGGAACGAGGTGAGCATTGCCAATCTCGCTTACCGTGAACTTTAAGCGCGAGCACACTCACGCACGCACACACACACACACACACGCGCCTGCGCGCTGCTATCAAGACCAGCAAGCGCCTGTGTTGGAACAAACTGTGCGACGAGGTCAACGAGGACGTGTGGGGTAAACCGTACAAGACGGTCATGTCCCGTCTCAGAGGCCCGAGAGTAAATCCACCGAGCTCTCCGTCCCTGGTGCGCTGCATAGTGGCGGCCCTCTTCCCTCGCGTGCTCGACGAACCTGCTCCCCCACCACCACCCCAGGCAGGAGAAATTGTTCCGGCCGTCACCTTGGAGGAACTCCGAAGAGCTTACAAGAGGATCAAGGAGCACACCGCGCCCGGGCCGGACGGCGTACCAAACGCCGTTATCAAGACCGCCATCGCCGAGCACCCTGACGTCTTCTTGCAGGTGTATACGGCATGCCTACGTACCGGCGTCTTTCCTGCGTGCTGGAAACGTCAGAGGCTAGTTCTGCTGCCAAAGCCAGGCAAGCCCCCTGATGAACCATCGTCGTACAGGCCGCTCTGCATGCTCGACACAGCGGGCAAGATTCTGGAAAGAATCATCTGCGACCGCCTCGAAGCCATCACCGAGAGCCCGGAGGGCCTGTCAGACCACCAGTACGGTTTCCGGAAGGGGCGATCGACGATCAACGCCATCGATAGCGTCATCTCCACTGCTCGTGAGGCTATCGCAGGTAAAAGATGGAACCGCGGCACCAAGAAATACTGTGCAGTCGTGACCCTCGACGTGAAGAACGCGTTCAACTCGGCTCGGTGGAACAGCATCCACACCGCGCTGCGCCGGATGCGCGCGCCTGTGTACCTGCTGAGAATCATCAGCAGCTACCTCTCAGCGAGAGTCCTCGACTACGACACGGACGACGGGCCAGGGTCCTACAGTGTCACAGCAGGCGTTCCGCAAGGATCTGTCCTGGGGCCCATCCTGTGGAACGTCATGTACGACGCCGTACTGCGCCTTAACTTCAGAGGCAACGTAAGAATCGTCGGCTTCGCGGACGACATCGCCCTGGTGGCCGTTGCCTGGAGATGTGCGACAGAGACGCAGGCCTACATCCGTCAAGCGGAGGCCGTGCACCGACGAGCCTGCCTGCGCGTGATCAGCGGGCGACCACACGTCTCTTACGATGCGACGTATGTGATAGCCGGCGTACCCCCGCTGACCCTACTGGCGGACGAGCGTGCGCGCATATACCAGCGCCGACGACGTCAAGGAAGAAGAAAGAAGAGAGACGCTGAGAAGGTGGCAGGACCGATGGGATCGGGCCCCAAGAGGCCGATGGACACACCGGCTGATTCCGAACATCGCAGAATGGGTAGAGAGGGGGCATGGAGAAGTGAACTACTATCTCACGCAACTCCTGTCCGGGCATGGCTACTTCAAAAGCCACAGCGAGCGCTATGACAACACACTTAGCGCACTCTGCCCGGCCTGCCCCACCACAACAGAAGACGCGGAGCATGTGTTTTTCCACTGCCCACGATTTCACGAGGAGAGGGAGAGACTTCAACAAGTCCTCCAAGAAGATATCGAGCCGGAAAACATCGTCCGGCTCATACTCGAGACCGCAGGCAATCGGCTGGCGGTAACGTCCTTTGCGCAATCAGTCGTCTCTAGACTGAGACAAGAAGCGCAAGAGGTGTAGATAAAAACAATCCGGACGATGCTGTAAGAAAAAGACGAAAACGACGCTTCTGGTTCCCGAACCCCTAATCACCGCAAGGTGGACGGGGGATGTACGGAAAAGACACAGATGTAGCAGAGAAGCTCTATAGAGTCCCCACCGAAGTAATGTTTAACGACGGTTTCCAGTGGGGTACTCGTTTCGAAGGGCCACTGGCTGCAGAGTTTACTCTGCCCACGTCCAAAAAAAAAAAAAAAACACACACACACGCACGCGCACACGCACGCGCACCCACACAAGTCGACAAAATTTTTCTTTGTTGCCAGCTCTGGCAAGTTTATCGCGCGCCCTTAAACCTTGCCGATCGGTTGCCTTTTTTTCTCTTTGTTAATCGCGTAATCGTAAGTTGCAGTTTTTCGCCGGGCAATTCCACGACGACGTTGTCAAGCATCATTTGCAAGAGAGAATAGAAGAAGCTCGCAGTTAAGCGCAACAGCAGCAGCAGCAGCAGCAGGCTCTCGACCAGCAACGGACGACGAGGTGATCACCGCCAAGGCCAACGACAACATCATCATCAGGTAATCATTTGTCACGCCTCTCTCTCTCTCTCTCTCTCTCTCTCTCTCTCTCTCTCTCTCTCTCACTCATCGTTACATTTACGTTGCCGCGAAAAATTTCATCGTAATTCTCGGCATCGTCGCGTCGACTAGCAGCGATCGTCGCTCGTTCTTCGCCGCGGCCGCTCAGCGAAAATGTAAACAAAAGAAAGAAAAAAGGCCAGAAAAAAGTAGAAGCAAAGAAAATTTTCGAAAGCATTGAACGATTTGTAACGCGAGCCTTATCGTCCAAGCGATCGCCGACGAGCGAGCAGCCGCGAACGCGAACCGTCGTCGTTTTTGGGCATCGAAACTCGCGTCTCTGACTTTATTCGACTTTTACATCTCGTTTCTTCTGTTTCTGCAGCGTCGTCGCTTTCGCGGAGCCATCAGCTTGTCAACACGAGTGTCGTTTTCTTACGTCGGGCACGTCGCACGCATAGACATGGACGCGAGCAGCGGCAGCAAGATGCCAGCGACGACTGGTGGGTCGGCCGTCGCCTCGGTCACGGCCAGCGACCAAGCCGTCGCCGTCGGGGCCAATGACGCGGCCGTTGCCGCAGCAGCTGTGGACACCACCACCGCCAACAGCATCGCAACCACCGCCGCCACCACCATTGCCACCGCCACCGCCACCACCATCACCGACTCCTCCGACGACGTCGTCGTCGTCGTCGTAGCCGCGGCGTCGGCAGAGGCCGGCAGCAGTGGCAGCAGCGTAGCTACAGCGATCGAGGATATACCGTTGCCGGTGGGTGAACCGCGCGCGTCGCTGCCACTACCGACACCAGCAGCAGCAGCCGACCCCGTGGTTACTCGGGAACCGTCGACGCCAGCCGGTGCCGCTGATACGGGCGCGCCGGTCGCCAGTGGCGAAGGCACGATTTCTGCCGTAGGAGCAGACTCGCCCGCGGCGTCGGGTCCGTCCGTCGCGTTGACACTTGACGTGTCGCTCGACGACGAGCAGCAGCAACAGCGGGTTGGGCCGCTGCTCGACATGATGATCATCAGCGACGATACGTCGTCGTCGTCCGAGGAGCTGCGTCGCCGTCAAAAGCGATCGTTTCTCGCGTCAACGTCAACGTCGGCGGATCGTCGTCCTCGGCGCGGCCAGGATTGGCCGCAGTGGCAGCGGATGCAGCAGTGGCTGCGATCGGACGCAACGACGACGACGAGTCCGAGGATGAGGAGGACGACGAGGAGGATGGTTCGGCCGTCGGTCCAGCGTACGAAGCCGCGAGGGCCTTTTTGTCGGCGATGAACGAGGCTGCGGCGAGGCCGCCCATCGACGGCGTCGACGATCAGTGGTCGTTCGAGGACGACGCGCTGCTGCTGCGCTGCCTCAATCCTCGCTCGGTGCACGAGTACCGGAGCAAGGAGTTTTGGCGCAAGCTGGCAGCCGAGTACTTTTTCGGGAGTGGTCACGTGACGGCGGCACGCGCCCGGGCCCGCCTGCAAAAGCTGCTGCGGGATAAGAAGGCCTTTCGGCTGTGGGGCCTGATTGCCGGCAGAAATTTGAGGGACGGGCCGGACCCACGTCACGAAAAATTCGAGACGTTTGTGCGTGCCCGGCACGCTTGGCGCTTCTACGCCAAGCGCAGGGACAAGCGCGGCCAAAGCGGCGTCGGACAGCAGCAGGCCTCGGCAAAATGCTCGGACGCCGAATTGGAGGTGAGTCGAAAACCAAATTTTGTCGCTTTTCCTTAAAAATTATTTCTTCTCGCATTATATGATATGTACATTATCGATGAATCAATTCACGATCCTTGTCATTGTGTTGTAACAGCGCGAGCGCGAGTACTGGAGCCGGCCGGCGCCGCCCAAACGGGGGCCGGTGCGTGGCTGGAAACGCAAGAGGCCCGACGACGAGGAGGAGGAGGAGGAGGAGGAGTGCGACGCAGCCGCTCGTTATCGTCGCAGCAGACAGCGTGGCGAGCAGGCCGACGACCAGCAGGCCGGTCCGTCGTGCCGGCTGCGCAGCAACAACAATAAGCGCCCGAGTACCCAGGGCCCCGGCCAAGACGCCGACGAGGCTAGGCCGTCGACTTCGTCGTCGTCGTCGAGGGCAGCGAAGGCGCAATCACCAACAACGCCGCAGACGCCAAAAACGACGCGTCCGACCAAGCAGCAGCAAGCGTCCCGTCGGCCCGAGTGCTCCGGCCGGCAGCCGGTGGTGGTGCTGGATCGAGCGTCGGTGCCGATCGGCAAGGACGCCCGTGGCGGCGGCATCTGCAGCAGCACGAGTAGGCCAAGCACGGGAGGAGCAGCGGCTCGCTGCAAACCCATGGTGGCATCGTCGTCTCGCTCGGCCTCTTTGGCCCCGAAGCAGTGTTCGCCCCGGGCGGGCTTTCACACGGTGGTGAGTGTATTATACATTGCTCGCGGGCACGAGTGTCGAGTCTTGCCCCTTTCACGCGCGTGCACGCTCGATAATCAATGTTAATCTAATAATTTTGTTCTTCTTCGTTTGCAGGGTGGCGGTCCAAGAGGAGAAGATTGGCGCGCGCTGGTAGACAGCGACAGCGAGGAGGACAGCGACGACGGCGCAACCGGCTCGAGCTACCGGAGCACGCCGCGCGGCTCCGCTTCGACAAGAAGATCAACAACAACAACAAAGAGGAGGGAGGAGAAGCGTCGCGACGGCCAGGGACGTCGCTGAAGGCGCCCTTAAAAATTTTCTTTTCCTCTGCGTTTACAATCATGTATTGATATTTTTTATTGTTCTTTCGTGTGCTTTTGGTTTACCGTTTATAGTTTTTACATCGTTTATCGTTTTGTTCAATTTTTTTGTCTGTTTTTGTGTATATTGTTTGCTTCGTTGCGTTTGTTTGCGACGACTCGCTCGATTGCATCGTTGCGTGCGCGTCGCTTTGCTCGTTGCGTGTTGTCTGAGGCAACTGCAGTAGCGAACCCAACTTTCCGTTCGTTCGTACGTAATCATTATTTACAACACTTTTTTTTCGCAAATTTCGTTGCTTTTTGTGTACGATTGTTGTTGGACGTATGCGCGCCTACGGGCGACAGCAGTAACGTTGATGTAGAGTTGCGAACGAATAAATTGTGTTCAAACGTTGATGATATTTTTTATTAATGTGTACACCTTACCTACCTACCTAATGTACCTATCTCGTCGTTCCCCCTGTTGCGTTCGTACTCGTTGTCTTATTTAGTACGTACCTACCTTGTGTACTCGAACCCGTTTCCCAGGGAGGGGGTGTGCTTCTCGGCCTCCGATTATCGTCAATTCGCGTACTTGCGTCGTAGTTGCCTGGTCGTGCTTGCGCGGTGCGTTTCTTGTGCTTTATTGCTGCAGCAGCAGACGAAAACTTTGCCCACTAACGGGCGAAACGGTGTCCGGTTCGCGTTCACGGGCCGTTACCGTCAGAGCGCGCGTTCCCGTCGTTTGCGTGGTCGCTCTTGTGCGGTGCGCGTCCGTCCGTACTTGGGCAATCCGGGGCGGGTTACTTGGGTTAAGGTCACGTTTATCGATGGCGCACGCCGGGCGCACGGTGAATGGTCGACATTTGGCAGCCGAAAAGGGCAGAGTCGAAGAACGGGGCGATCTGATGGTTAATCGGCGCTAATCGGAACGCAACTCGGTCGGCGTTGGCGTATGGTCAACGCGACATTTTGCAATGGTGAGGGCGCGAAAAAAGAGCAGCTCCAGGCAGGTTTGCAAATTTTTTCAACGACTTTGTAAGATCGTGCGGGTTCCGAGCGTTACCGCGGATGCAACGATAACGGGCGATACGATCGAGTCGCGAGATAAACGGTGGGCGCGCTCGGCCCAAGCGGAACGGCGGCAGTCGGGGGTTACTTCGGATGTTGAGATATGGACGTTCGCGGGTAAGTTCGGAGTTGGATCATCGACGGGTCATTGCCGATTATTTATTCGACATTGACGAGTATTCAGGCGCGTGCCTGATGCGTCTCTTCGCCTCGTCGCCGTTGTGGTGCGCGACTCGCGACGCCGAAAAGCGAAAGTGGCACATCGAGGCTGCAAAACCCTATCGCAAGTTTCATAGAAATGTTCGACGTACCGACGACCAGGCAAACGACATCGATCGAGGTCTTGGGTTATTTCGGGCGAAAGTTATACTTATGCTCGTGGGCTATTTTACGTACGAAACGGAATCAACCTTTGGGTTATTTTGGATTTAAGCTGCATGGAATGATTAATTTTATGTACAAGTCCGTACGCATTGGACACCCCCGAAAAACGTACTTTTTTTTCGGTGACAAAAATTTCGGAACTACAATTAGTGAAAAGGGTGTTTGTCGAGGTACTTTTCGGAAATACTTCGTACTATCCTAAAAAAATTATTTTCGTCAAAAAAATCGGTTTTTGGCTTCAAAAGGTGCGTTAGGTCATCTGAAAAAATCTGAAAAAAATTGAGGTTATGTTTTTTAATGCGAAAAATAACGGAAAAAATTTCCGAGTACTACATCGGCTCATACCGCCGTATTGTAACATCCGAATTAACAGATATTACATAGTTATATATATTTATTCTTTTCCACAGAAATGGTTAGGAGTTTATTTGAAATAATGATATGTTGACAAAGTTATATAATTTTTAAAAGACTCACATTGATTTATTCGTACTTGATTTTATCACACACACACACACGTTTTACTGGCCTCCTCTTAGCTCGGTGATGTCCCTCTCGTACGCTGCCCCGGACGATGGAGAACCAAAATGATCTTCAGAGGAGTTGAATCACTTGAACGCCTCGCGTAAATAGCAATGAATTTACTTCTCACAAAACGAGCTCTGTACGGGTCGGCTGACTCTAGGTAACAAGGCCGATTCCTCGGAAGCGCGGCCTATTTATATCAATGAGGTTCATTCCCTTTCACCATCTAACTTCTCACCCGTTCCTTCCTAATTCTAAATTTATCAAAAGAAATGAGATAAATTCCGAACACGTGACCCCTCAGACTGCATATGGATCGTAACCGACAATGTTTGATCGTAAACTCGTGCTATACGATAGCGTCGTTTATTACCGAGTATTCTGGTCAATGTGAATGAGAAAGGTAAAAAGGATATCTTTATTAGAATTTATGAACGTTCCATATGATCAGCTTATTTAATCAGCTGGCCACATGGCCGCATCTCCATTACTATATTTACTTAGTTGATTTTTATTCCAGCGTGAATGCATGTTATACTCTTGGTTCATGGCGCGGACTCAAGTTTCTTTGATATCAGATTGATGTTACAGAAAAATTACCATGCCTAGTATTTCTCACACATTTTTTATATTCCCGAAATCAGAGTTTTATTGCAGTCTAATGGGATCTTTGGAACGTAGCAATATAAATATCTCCCGAACACGTGTGCGACAATCAATTGTTACATTACGCGGGAGTACTCAATTTACCTTTTATTACTTTTTGTAATCATATTCGCGTAATGTGACAGTATCTCGATTTTTGAAATTTTCAATAATTTTTTCTGAAGGCCTGAAGCTCTCAAAAAATCTGAAAAAATTAAAGGTTGTTTGGATTGTGGAAAAGTATTTTTATGAATTTTTTCAGATTTTTTACTTGCTTCATGTCCTCAGAAAAAATATAGATCGAAAATGGACGTTTATACCGGAAGTGGGGGGTAGGAGGGGGGAGGGGGTCTAAAAATTTTTTTTTGGGACCTTTTTACCATGTACTATAACATACCAAAAGCGCGTCAAGATCGGTGATATACGTGCGCACGGTTTTGTAAAAAAGTATTATTTTGACCCATATATAATTAAAATAAAAGATAAATAATGTTAAAAAAACCTCGACTTTCTCAATTTCACTAAAAGAGCCTTCCTTTAATTGTAAATTTTTAACTTTTATGGTCGGATAGCAATGAATAATTTACTTGTTCAATTTTCTATGCATAGATTTGAAATGTTCTGTGTTGACAAAACACATTGATGTTAAACTACTGTATTAATTTCAATTGAATCCCTCCAAAAATACAGAAATGACATAAAAAAAACTTTGAATCAAAATTGGCTTTGCGATACAAAAGGAAAATATAATTTTTTTAACTAAATGGTCATTTTTCCATGCTTGGATCTGAAATTTTCTGGGTTGCTCTATCTCATTGTGTCAAAATTACTGTACAAATTTCATTCGAATCCCTCTTAAATTACAGAAATGACATTGTTGAGAAGACGGCTTGAAGGAGAAGAAGAAAAAAAGGCGCAGACGCAGGTGGCTCAGGTTGAGACAAACTCTTTATTTTTCTTGGTTTAATACAATCACGTTTACGTGGACAAAAACCTGGATTACTTAAAAAAGGTGTACAAAAAAGCTGGTTCACGCGATGCGTAAAGAGATTCGGTGCAGGCGATGTTCGCGCTCCGAGCACTTTGGCGTTCGAGTCGGGACCAACGACCCGTGAACTATTTGTGTTCCGTGAGAGGATAATAAATTATTCGCTTAGCCAATTCTTTAACAAAAACTAATAACTTTATTAATGAAAAATTCTCGTCGGTAAATCGAGATTGCTAGTTGGCGTAAAAGCGAGTAACGCGCGACTGGGTCGAGAGCTAGATGAGCTTTCAAGGTCCAACTTCGACTGTTTCGATCAAGCAGTTCGATCGAGCACTGAGGCAATAAGCACAAACATCATCTCTGTCCGTTATTTTCCCATCAAGCACCCGGCACAGTCGCGCCCTACATGCCAAAACTTAACAATAACTAAACATACCGCCCGCGTTGACGCAATGTAGCGGCAATAACATCACAAACCATAATACGAATGAAAGTCCACAAAAGAGTTCACAAAAAAATGACCATGTAAAAAACAAAATAATAAACAAATTAATAATACAAAAAAGTAAAGCAACTCTAAACAATACAAACAGTTTTCCGACAAAGGTTTCGAAATTTCAAGAGCCTAAAATAATTCATTCGTTCGTCTTCTTTTCATTGAGCCGACAGTAATATTCCTCGGCTTGAGCATCAGTCGGCAGCTTAATCAATTTGACAATTGGTCTTGTAAAAGTTGAGCTTGCGGTCTTGATAGTCGCAACTCTGACCAATCCATCAGAACCCGGATGAACCTGCTCGACGCGTGCCAGCGGCCACGACGATGGCGAACAGAGATCATCCTTGAGCAGCACCATGTCACCTGGCCGCAAGCTCTCGCGTGCGGTCAGCCACTTACTCCTCTGCTGCATTTGTGAGAGCACTTCTCTTCGCCATTGACTCCAAAACAAGTCACGCATGCCGCGCAACAATCTCCAGCGACTAGTAAAGTTGAGAGTTCGATCATCGTAAGGCTCAGGGTAGTCCAGCAGCGAAGACCCAACCAAAAAATGAGCCTCCAAATCCTCTGGTCGGCTGCTGCGAGGACACAGCGGTCGCAAGTTCAAACACGCTTCGATGCGCGCAGCCACAGTTGAAAGCTCCTCAAATGTGAGCCTCGTGTCGCCAATGACCCGTCGAAAGTGGTATTTGAAGCTCCGCACGGCGGCCTTCCACAAACCGCCGAAGTGGGGTGCCCTGGGAGGGATGAACGTCCAAACTATGCCTCTCTTCTGCAAACGATTGCTTGCACGCTCGAGAAGAGGCGAGCTTTTGGAGAAAAGTTCACGCAGCTCCCTCGATGCTCCCTTAAAGGTAGTGCCATTGTCCGAATAGAGCACCGCAGGTCTTCCCCGTCGAGCGCAAAAACGAGAGAACGCTGCGAGAAAAGCACTTGATATACGCCAACGACACGAGACTCCTGCGTGCGTATCCCCACTCCGCCACTTGGCCGCTGCCGGCTCGCGCGCCGACCGGCCAGCGGTATAAAAGACAGCGCCGATTCGATTCGGCACGCAGTTCCACTCCTGGACTTTCCGGAGTCGGATCTTGCTCGCCCACGAGAGCTTGACCTAGGGAACGTTAATAAATCTGAGTTATACACATATACTCAAACTTATTATTTCTCGCTCCTCTCCAAGCCTCCTTCCCACTTCTTGCGCTGAGAAGCTTCACTAGCGGCCGCTAGGTGGCGCAGCGCTGGCACCCACAAGCTACTTATCCCCGCCAGGGCTTAAGTATCGGCCACTTCGAGCTTCGATCTTTCCAATTCAGCGAGTGCGGCCTGGACTTTCCGGCCGCAACTGACCAGCAAGGCCAAGACAAATTCGTCGCAGAGTCGCCGCAGCCAAGTCTACGAGCTCGACGGGGTTTCCAACCTTCTATTGCAGAGTTGACTACGAAGCAACATCGGATCTCGGCTACCACTCGATCCACATCAATCACCAACTAAACAATTTGGAACTTGTACACGCCAACTCGGCCTCGGTCTTTTTCAGGACCATCTCACGTAGGATTTCGAAAGACCTCGAACTTTTGTTAAAGATCGAGGCTAACCGACTTGTCAATTGCAGAGTGCGAACTCTGAAATTCTTTTCGGTTTCCAGCCTTTTCAAGGCTACCGTTCGAAAGCTGACGAACTTTTGTAAGAGTTCAATTCAAACCGTCTTAGCAGTGGCAGAGTGTAAACTCCTAAACTCTTTTTGGTTACTAGCCTTCTCAGGGCTACTGTTCGAAAGCTGACGAACTTTGTAAAAGTTCAATTCAAACCGTCTTGGCAGTAACAAGAGTGTAAACTCTTAAAACTCCTTTCGGTTTTTAGCCTTCTCAGGGCTACCGTTCGAAGGCAACGAACTTAATCAAAATTCGACGTTCCCACATAACACACTGGTGGTCAGATCCGACACCACCTCAACGTAGACCGCTCGGACGACCATGCATATAAAGATGGCGATGTAACCTTTGGTGGACGGAGCCTTACGTCCTTTTGAAAACAGTATTGGCAGTGGTCCGGCATAGTCTAATCCTGTTACTTGGAATGGTCGTCCAGGAGTGACTCGAACTGCGGGCAGCGGGACCATCTGCTGCTCCACTGCAGTAGCTCGAAAGCGAGCACAGCGAACGCAGTCTCCGCAAACGGCGGGAATGACGCGCGGGCCTCGCAAAATCCAAAACATGCGGCCTAGGTGTGAGCGCATAAGCTGCGGTCCGCCATGAAGGGTATCCCTATGAGCCTGTTCAATCAATCTCCTCACGATTAAACAACGTCCAGGCAGAATGATCGGGTGTTTTTCATCATATGTCAGTGGAGCGTTCTGCAAACGACCACCAACTCGCAATAGACCTCCAGTGCCAATGAAGGGGTGAAGTGCCCTCAACCGACTCCTCTTCGGCAGCTTTTCTCCAGCAGTGACCGCCTTGATGTCGTCCCCGAAATGATGCGCTTGGATCAGCCGAAAACACATAAATTGAGCCTCTCTCCACTCGTCACCATCGGGCCCCGCCACTTCCGCTCGACCGACGACAGCCAGCCACCGGCGGCAGTAACAGAGCACTTTAACCATTTTGCTGAAGCTGGAAAATACGCTCAAATTCGGTAGGCAGCTGGTAACGGCCGGCGGAGGCGCCTGCCGTGCGACCATAACCTGTGCGCTTTCACTCGAGGGTATAACAGATGCTGGCCACGTTGCCTCCTCGTCGAGAAGCCAAGAAGGGCCATTCCACCAAAGTGGGAAAGCGGACAATTCGAGCGGCGATAATCCTCTTGTCGCACAGTCAGCTGGATTATCCATCGTTCGTACATGCCTCCAGCAAGCGTCAGGCAGGCCAGTCTGAATGTCGCTGACTCGATTCGCCACGAACGTTGGCCACCTCGAAGGATGTCCTCGCAACCACTCAAACACAACACTCGAGTCCGACCAACAGAAGATGCGCGCCGGTGGAAATCTGAGGCCGTCAAGCAGACTCTTGACCAGGCGGACAAGAAGAGCGGCCGCGCAGAGCTCCAACCTCGGCACCGTCTGCACTTTGGTCGGTGCTAATTTTGTCTTGGCTACAATAAGTCGACACAATGTCGACGGGATCACAGCGTATAACGCCGCAGCATACGCTCTCTTAGACGCGTCAGCGAACGCATGCAAGTGCCAAGTACTTGACTTGTCCTTGCAATGTCGGATAATACCGTACGACGAGTGGCAGGCGACGTCGTGAGGACAGGCTTAAATTGAAAGGTAAAACAGTCCAGCCGAGGTAGCCATTTCAATCCAAGTGTAAACACCGCCTCATCTACCCTCAATGCAACCGCCTCCGGCTTGTTGTCGGTGAGATCCTCAACGATTTCTGTGTGCGATGCAGCCCACTTCGCTAGCCTCATGCCAGCTGACGCGAGCAGCGCGATGAGCTCATCTCTTCGGCGTATTGCCTCTCCCGCAGATCCGGCGCCAAAAAAAAGATCATCGACGTAGAGCAGGTGCTGTAGCACCTCCGATGCTTCCGGATAAGCTACCCGTCCGTCCTCCGCAAGCTGCTTCATCACGCGCAGGGCCTGGAAGGGAGCTGAAACAGTCCCGTAAGTTACCGTCGTGCAGCGATAATCACGTATCGGCTCGTCAGGGCCAGCTCGCCAGAGCACACGCTCCCAGTCGACGTCGTCCTCGTGTATTCGTATCTGGCGGAACATCTTCTCGACGTCGGTCGTGCCTGCGAATTCGAAAAAACGCCAGTTGGACAGTACCACTGTAATATCCGCCTGCAGTTTTGGCCCCGCAAGCAGTTGGTCATTCAACGATATTCCGTCATTTGCCTTGCTCGACGCGTTGAACACCACTCGAATCTTGTTGGGGTTGTCCGGTCGAAAAACTCCATGATGAGGCAAATAGGAACTCGGTCGTTGAAGTTGCTGCGTCGGCACACATTCCATGTGCCCAAGCCTTATGTATTCATCCCTAAACTCGGAATAAACGTCGCGCAGCCTCGAATCCTTTTGAAAACGGCGCTCCATCCTTAGCAGACAAGACTGAGCCGTGAACCTGGAGCCTCTCAGGTCGGCTCTGCGCGCGAATGGTAGACGCACCACAAATCGCCCGCTGCTGTCCCGACGATGCGTCTGCACGAACAGTTCTTCGCAGCGCCTCTCGTCCTCAGACAAATGCGGCCTGCTCGTTACGTTGTCGAGCTCCCATAACTTCGAGACGAGACTTGAGATTGACGGCTCAATTGATGCGTGAAACGCTCGCACAGCACCTCCTTCGTCGGCCGTGTCCGGCAGCGTTGGTCCCGTCAATATCCATTCAAAGACCGTCTTCTGGGCCACGGGGGTTCCCGAAGTCCCCTTGATGACCCCGTTCAAAATAAGCTCCGGGAACACATCGCCGCCGAGAACGAAATCCACACGCGCCGGCACTCCAAAGCGCGGATCGGCCAGCTCAAGACCCCATATGTGCTGCCACGACTCAAATTTCACTCGATTGCTGGGTAAGAAATCCGTAAGCTCCGAAAGTATCAGGGCCGATGTCTGCAATGCAAATTCAGGCTTCTTGGGGGATCGCACCCGCAGGCACAGCTCGGTGCCGGCTTTCGATGACTCAGCAGCGCCGAGACCAATGATCGACATCGAAGTGCGTCGCGTAGGCAAATTCAGCTGCGATGCCGCACGCCGAGTGATGAAGCTCCGCTCCGCCGCTGGGTCAATGAGTGCCCTGACCGACAGGAGCTGTCCGTCCGCGGTCACGAGGTGTACCATTGCGGTAGCCAACAAAATGTCGGAGCCAACTCGAGTCGTGAACACATTCACCGAGCTGCCTTGATCCTCTTCGATTGGAGCGTTGACGTTGCTCATGGCCTCTTCCTCGGCGCTGCTGCCGTTCCCGTGTCTCGGTCGTCCCAGCCTGTCGGTGTGAAGCTTCGTGTGATGCTTATCCTGGCAGATGAGGCAGCGCGACGATGATGGGCACTTGACAACGAGGTGCGACCTGTGCAGGCAGTTCAGGCACAGACGCTTCGCCTTGCACAGCTCGAGCCGCTGCTGCTGGGACATGCCTAAAAATTTGAAGCATCTATGAATCCAGTGGCTCTTCTGGCAGACGTCGCACAGGGGTCCCGAACGACCCGCAGGCGCGTCTTCAATTCGTGCGGTGTTGGCCGAGACACGTCGATGTCCGTAGCCCCGATCACGCAAGCCTTGGCTGCTCGTCGTCGCAAGCCCGGCTGATGGTCGCGCCTGCTCCAGCGACTGCACACGACGCTCGAGAAAAAGGACCAGATCACCGTACTTCGGGAACTCGGAGGATTCCTCGCGTGAGATCTCCCACGACTCCCGCGAATTCGCGTCGAGCTTTCGAACGACGCAGTGGACAATCCAATTGTCATACTCGTGAACAGGGCACCGCAATTCCTGCAGCGATCGAACCGCCTCCTCTGTCCTGTCGATCAGGTTGGTAAGCTCATCCACGGTGCGCGACTTCACCAGTGGTAGCTGCATTAGGCTCTCCAGGGCGTTATGTAAACGTATGCGCCGATTGTCATAGCGATGCACGAGCTTGTCCCATGCAACGTCGAAATTGGCTGCTGTGATTTCCATTCCTTTCAGTCGAAGCGCCGCCGGGCCCTGCACTGCATTGAGAAGGTGTTGCAGCTTGGCGACGTACTGGACCCTTATAAATTGATCCAACCTTTTTTAAAATACAATAACAATCAGTTTTGCTTGTTATAGTTACTCCTAAAAACTCTTGTGTTACTGGTATAGCCCGAATAACGACGATTTTTCGACTTTTTTTGAGATTTTTTGTACATTTTCGATATCGTCCCGGATGCATAATCTGTAATAAAAACAAGTCTGAGACCGGTAAAGGCTTTGTCAAGAAGTACACTTTGAAGGTACAAACGCTCATTTTGATCGAGCTATAAAGAAAAAAAAGTACCGAGCTAAAACATCAGCCATTTTTTACACTCCCTATACTATTTTTCCATGCTATCGAAAATTGGCACGATCGATTCGTTCAAAAAATTTGAAAAAAAACTTCTTATGTACGTTAGATACAATGTATAGTACTTTTTGTCTCTGAAAATATGTATTTTTTAGATCGGCAACATCCAAAGCCTATATCGTTTATTGAAACTAATGATAAAAATGTTGCTCGAAACTTTATTATATAATTGTTAAACGTTCATGTTATACACACTTTACACGTATGAGCACACTGGCATATTTCTTTTGCAACCCGATATACACTAATGTGAGGAAGCGTTCAGATCGCGATCGTTAAACGGTTTTTTTAAATTTTCTACCTCCGTGGGGGCTCCCCGACCCCGCGGTACCGTTTAGCGCCCGGTCGGCGTTTGAAACCCCGTGATGGGCCTCTTCCAGGTTTGGGGACTTGTCTCCCCGGCACCTGGTGAGCCAGCTCGGGTTCGCGGGACCGCTAGACCCGAAGGCGCCCAAGGGCACCCCCTGCGTTTTTGGACTCGATCTCAATCCCTCGCATCTTATTTTCTTTCTCTCTTTTTCAATCTTCCCTGTTATTTTCCTACCGTTTTAATTTCCTTCCTTTTCTCCTTACATGCAGAAACAAAAACAAAAACAAAATGAGCCATATATTCTTCTTCGGGCAGGTACGTCACGCGATTCCTCTCATACAAGAGGAGTACGTGACGTCCCACCACTCTACAGTTAACACAGGTTTACTATCACTTGGATAGCAAACTGTGTCCTCCCTTTCCCTCTCTGCTCCTATTCCATCGTTCTTTCTCTCCACCGCTCGAGCCTCCACTGTACTTCTAGACATGCCATCGACCAGACACTGTGCCATTTGCACAACACATGTATCCAATCTTCTTCCGCCTGCTCGCATACACATATAGCTGTTACACTTAACCCTTTACCATACAGCCATCCATTCATACTCCCGTGTCCTGTCAAATATACCCCACATTTAAACCAAACTCAAATCTCTTGCACCTACCAACGGTAGATAGGGACACTAGTAGTAGTCGTATTTCTCGTGCCATACCTGTCCGAAGACCTATTGACACGTCCCCGTAGGGCATCGAGCAAAAATACGCTTTGCCATCGCGATGCGGCAAGCCACACCTACCGAATTTCCTTTACCGTGAGAGCGGTGCGAGAGACCTCGGTTTGGCCCGGGACCTATTTAAATCCCTACCGCCTAAGCAGGACGGATACCCGAGTTGGTGGTACGCAACTCACACGCCGTGGGAAACCCACTCGCCAGCGCTGTTGGTTCTAACCGACTGCCACCACGAGTCCGTTCCCGTGTCGGGGCTTCGGAGAAATTCCGAAGGGCTTCCCCGACCCCGTGGTACCGTTTAACGTCCGGTCGACGGTCGCCTCACGGCTCCCAGATTAGGTTCTCTCTAACCCTGCATCTGGTGGGCATTAGCTCGGGTCTGTGGGTATGCAAAGCCCAAAGTGCAAAAACACTCCCTGCGGTGACGCAATACACTGAGCTAAACTAAACAATAGATGGTTCCACGCCCAAGCACGTGGAACTAATCAGTCAGAGGTTAAAAACAGAATCAAAAATATCACAGCAGGTTCAGACTAGTTAACGAAAATTAAGCTAAAGTAAGGACGATCTCACGCCACAGCACGTGAGATTAATCAGTCAAGGGTCTAAAAACGAAATACAATCTTAATCTAGTACAAAAAGCGACGGTCTCACGCCACAGCACGTGAGACTAGTCGGTCAAAGGCTAAAAACAAACAGTAGGAGACTCGAAATCGACAAAGATAATCTAAGCTAAACTAGACGATCTCACGCTAAAAGCGCGTGAGATAAAGTCAGTCAACTTTTGAAAACTCTCCTTCGAGGACAGGACTCCCGACAAGTCGAAGGTATTATCAGGCCGGGGCCTAACCCCCAGCTTATCGAGATTCCTGAACGCCTCGTATCGCGGGCAGTGAACAAGCATATGCAGCTAGTCCTCTACTGCACCGCACTCGCAAAGTGGGCTAGGAGCGCGATTAATCTTGTGCTGGTAAAAATTCAAGCCGCCCTTGCCTGTGAGGATGTAGCCAACAAGCCATCCCACGTTCGTCCATTGACACCATTTCAGCGAGTTTCTCACATCAGGAGCGAACTCGAAGGTTACTCTTCCCTTGTCGAAGGAGACCCAGTCATTTTGCCATCTATTCATAACTTCCTCTTCGCATTTGGCGAGGAGATTACGCACGCCGGACCCGTCGTCGGCGACCAAATCCAGATCGTCGAGGGCGAGTCCGCGTCTTATTCTATACACAGTGCGTCGCATGAGACACCGCAGAACCCACGGCGGAGAGCCGGCCAAGACCTGCATCGCCACCGTGGGAACCGTGTGACAGACTCTCATGCACGCCCTTAGGACCGTTCTTTGGCATCGGATGAGCTCGTCTCTCATCTCTTTTCTCCTCAAGGCCTCGCCCCAGGCAGCGGCTCCATACAGAGCCATCGCTTGAAAATGCCTTTAATCCAAGTCCTCGCGACCCCGTCTTGCACGCCCCAACTTTTGCGCAGGACGCGACGCAGACCGCCGAGACTAGACGACAGTCTCTCTCTTAGTTCCCTTACGTGCGTGGTGAAGCTAAGACGCTCACCGAAAATGCAGCCAAGCAGTTTCGCTTCGGTCGTATACGCGACCCATTTAGGAGTTTCTCCTCTGAGAACTTTTACGCTCCTTGACTTAACCGAATAGGTCCCCTTAAGAAGAATCAGCTGCGTCTTCTCTTCCGAGACATCGACCCCGTATTTGTCACTCCACTTATAAATCTCCTCGAGCACCGACGCTACGCCCGCTTCTACACGGGCACGCGAGTCGCCTTGTATGAGACAGGTGGTATCGTCTGCATACGCGACCGTCGGGATGCCCAAGTCGTTTAGTCGGCGGAGCAACTCGTCCAGGGCCAAGTTCCAGAGGATAGGACCGCCAATGGAGCCCTGCGGGCAGCCTCGCTGCAGGTTGCGCCAGCACCTCACGTCACCCCCCCCATTGACCACGAACACCCTTCTATTGCAGAAGAAGCTCTGCCACAGAGAGAATTCGTGGTCATTCATGCCTGTTTCCTTTAGTCGATTCAAGATACTAGGCCACCTCAGAAAGTCAAAGGCCCCCTTGAAATCGACCAAGAGGGCAGCGACGTAGGTGTAACGGCTTGCTCTTACCATACCGCATAGATCGATCAGAAGATCCTCGGTGCTTTTCCCTTTACGAAAGCCATACTGACTTTCACACCACAGACCACTCGTGCAAAGATTGAGCCTGCTCACCATCAGGATTTCAAGCACCTTACTCATACCGTTCAGCAGACTAATAGGCCGGTATGATCTCGCCTTGCTTGGATCTTTGCCGTTCCCTTTGTATAGCACGACAATACGGGCAATCTTCCATTCATCGGGGAAAACCCCCGACTGCAGACATGCGTCTAGCAATACCTTAACCTGACACGGGATCGCGCGTCAAATCTCTCGCAGCACGATATTGCTGATACCATCGGGACCAGGGGCCTTGCCCTTTTTTAATGACTTAAAAGCCAAGTCGACCTCACTAAACTCCCACGAAGGGGAATCCTAGCTACTCCTCGCTAAAGGCAGAGGAGCGACTGAGTTGGGATCTTCAGGAAAGAACTCTTCCAGAAGGGTTTCAGCGCTCTCGGACTAACTGTTGCAGGGAGTGTTGGCCTTGCTGATTCTAGCGATATCAGACGAGGCACCCCTGCCGCAACAGATCCGATACACCACGCCCCAGGGATCTATGCTACCCTTTTCCTGCACGAAACGGTGCCAGTCGCTATTCTTCGCCTCTGTAATCGCCTTTTTGTACTCTCCTAACTTGGAGCGGTACGCAAGACGAAGAGACTCAGTTGTAGCGCCGGCAACGCGCCTTGATACCTGGTACGAACGCCGCAGCCTGCCAAGTTTGACCTTAAGAGACTGCAAGCGATCATTCCACCACGTTATCCTTGCCCCTCTAGGAAGCCTCTTTTGGAGCGTGCTGGCGCAGCCAGCACTTACCCACGACTCTAGGAGCTGGACCTGCTCCGACGGACTAAGCTCACGATAGCCCTGGAGGCCAAATTGCTCAGCCTCAGTCTTGACGAAAGACGCGACAAGGGCCGCGCCGTGCTCTGTGATTCTACACTTGGACTCGGGCCGCGGCGCGCGAACACCCTGAGGAGCACCGCCTTCCGCGACCATGATTATCGCAATGTGATCCGAGTGGCACAGGTCCGGCCTAATCTCCCAGGACCAATTTGTGCCTGCCCAACCCCTCGCGAGCAACAAGTCGATGTCACTCTGTCCTCTGGGACCGGAAAACGTGAAGTAGTGAGAGGGCTGATTCAGGATCGACAGGTCAGTGGCGACAATAAACTCAGCGAGCGCCTCTCCTCTGCGCCCCGCCACGCCACGACGGCGACCCCTCGCGTCCTTCGAAAACCAAAGCTTACACGCATTAGCATCCAGACCAAGGAGAACACTCGCGTAGCCGGAGTCAACCACGCGAGTCAAGTACTCAATCTCAACCTCAATGCTGCCGCCATACTGGCAGTAATAAGAGACGACACAGCATTCTAGGCCACCACTTCTAAGCCAAACGCAAACAGCGTTTTCGCCCGTCAGTTCATTTAACAGCATACAGTCCATCTTGCTGTTGTTAACAATGATAGCTGCTTTACCACTGCTGCTCCGAAACTTCCTAAAGGAGCCAGGCACACCCACAGGTTCCTCGCCATACGACCACGGCTCCTGCAGGATCGCGACGTCGGTACTTTCATCGACCATCACCTTGCCCACGTCATACATCACTTGCTTCGCTCGCTGACATCATCGGAAAGCTGAGGAGATTTCCTATCAAAATCATATGGCACATATTTTTTTTGGGTGCATTTAGGTGCTTTTTGGCGAGTTACAAATTGAGCAATTTCGATTAATAATGCCGCGCGGGCGCCGCGCTAGGAGACTTGACGTGAAATGACTCATGTATCCAATCTTCCCGTTCATACCCACACGCACACCCCGCAGTATCACTCAAATTTCGCTCAAACAACCATGCATTCAAGCTACCATGCCCCGTAAGAATAAACCCAGCTTCCAAGCTGAAGCCGAGTCTCTTACACTTAACCATGAAACTCGCATCCTTCACAAATTCATACGTCACTCTACCTTTCATACTGTCATCCCATCTTCTCTGCCATTTTTCATTCACTCTTTGTTCGCACAGGCGTTCCAAAGTCCTTTCATCCATCATTTCGCGTTCATTCTTACTCACCAAGTCTAAGTCATCCATCTCGCATCCTTTTTTAACTCTATACAGCGTCCTGCGCCTTCTACAGGTCAGGTCCCAAGGATGTGAGCCCGCAAGGACCTGCATCGCCTCAGTGGACACCGTCCTGCAGACGCACAGGCACGCATACAACACGTCTCTCTGGCATCTTGCTAGCTCCTTCCTCGCCAACTTGAGGGCTAGCTGATGACCCCATACACTCGCACCGTACATCACAATAGCCTCAAACAATCCTTTCAGCCACACTCTCCAGACATTCCTTTTTATTCCCCATTCTTTCCTTAACACTCTTTTCATACATCCAATAACTCCCTCTACTCTTGGCCTCAAGCTCATCAACTGAGGCCTCACATTCATTCTCTCACTCATTCTTATTCCAAGCAGCTTTACCTCATCCACAACCTTCATTCTTCTCACTTCACCTGCGATTTCAACTCTCACACATGGATCCCTGCCGAAATCAAGCACACCTTTCATCATTACCACATTCGTCTTTTCATCGGACACTTCCACACCATATTTCAAACCCCAT